AGCACAATCAGAGAGGAGAGAGTCAGAAAGTGAGCATAGTGAAAATGGCCTGGGGCAGGGGGCAAGGAGAAACTAAAATAACTGAAGTTATCAGGAAAAAGAAAATTCAAAGACCTTAGGCATAAACAGGAAAAACAGTAACAATGAAGGAAATATGGCCTGCAGATCTTGTTAGTGAGTTCAGGCATCTATGAGTAAATACAGCAAAAAAAAATAAGTGATCCAATGCTTGATGAGAAATTGGACTCTGTGGAATGTGAAGAGAACTTGGAAACAACACACTGCTCCTGAGTGGTTCAAAAAGAAATTAGAATATGAAAGCAGAATTCATAGCCTACAAATGGGCAAAATAGAAAAACTTGAGCTTAAATGGAAAGTTTCAACAAAGAAACAAAAGAGACAACAATACATTGGAAATTTAAATATATAGAATTTAAAGACAATCTAGAAGAGAAGCAAAAACAAGAACATTAAAGGAAAATATCCTTCCTATGCAAGCAAAACATATGCATCTTGAAGACAGGATGCATAAAGACAAGTTAAGGAACATTGCTATCTCAGAAGAACATGACAGGGCCAAAAAACCTTAACACCATGATGAAAGAAATAATAAAAGAACTCCTCAGGACTTCTGAAGATAGAAAATTAAATGCCAATTAAAAGAACTCACAGATTACTTCCAGGAAAAAAAAAACCCAAGACTGCAAACTCCAAGACGCATAGTGGTTAAATTAAACATCCAATTCAGAAATAAGTTTGACAAGTGATCAAGAGAAAGACCTTCAAATGTGAAAAGAAATTTTAATAATGGAAGACTATCCTATACCCACAGTGAATGGAATGTGCTCCAAAGAGCAACAGAGCTCAAGGTACAGCCTAGGATGATATACCTTGCAAAACTGAGCTTAGCCATATGGGAACAAAGATGGATATTCATTAATAAAGAAGTATTTTAGACATTTTTTAAGAAAGGAAATCAGAGCTGAATTTATTTGCTTCTCTAACACTCCAAACAACAAAAATGCAGGAAGCATGAATAAATGCAATAGCCAGGGATAGCAACAGTAACATCAACAGAGTGACAGCAGAGGGACCAGTAAGAAACTTCTTTCTAAATATAAACAAGGAGACGGGGTAAATGTCGGAGGTAACAGTGAAGAGGGCATGGGACTTTATGGAGAAAATCTGGTGACACTCTGCCTACAGGTCAATCAATGTTTGGTGTGTGTGTTGGGGGGGGACTACATTACAACATGAGACATGAAAGTAGGGGAAGGGAACAAGGGAATAGAGAAGAATGTGTGATGTGCCAGGGTCAAATTAAGGGCTAAAAATGAAGAGAAGGTAAACCCTGTAATATGAGAAGGAGAAGAACCTACAGGCAAGTGGATAAGGAGAGATAGAAAAGGATTGAAAATAGAGGATAGGAAAGTAAGTCTTGCTTTGGTGGTGGGTGGTAGTTCCACTGATGAATGCTATTACGATAAAGAGAAAGGGTCTATGAAGGAAGATGAGTACTTCTAACTGAGTATGACCTAGGGGATTTAGTGCTTGAAAAATCTACTCATCCTACCTCAGCACAAGGGCAGAAAGAAGTCCTGTGGACAAGTGACACCTGAGGGAGTGGGAGAGCAAGGATCCAGGAATGACATTTTAAAGCAAATGGGGGAGGGAGGGAGGGGGGGTAACCCAGGGAAGGGTATAGATCAATTGAAAAGGAAAAATTGAATAAAGAAATGAGAGCAATGCAAGAAAATTATGAAAAGAGAATTAATAGCTTGGGGCAGGAAGAGGGGATGAAAATAACTCCTCAAAAATCAGAATTGAAGCAGCAGCAAGGTTGCGCAGTGGATAGAGCACTGGCCCTGAAGTCAGAAGGACCTGAGTTCAAATCTGGCCTTGGATCAAATACTTGACACTTACTAGCTGTGTGACCCTGGGCAAGTCACTTAACCCCAATTGCCTCACTAAAAAAAAAAAAGACAAAAGAAAAAAAAAAGAAAAATTCCCCAGGACCAGATAGAATCCTACCAAAAATTTTAAGAATGATTAATTCTAATATCATATAAACTATTTGAAAAAATAGGTAAAGGAGTCCCACCAAATTCTTTCTGTGACACAAATATGGTTATGATATATAAACCAGGGAGAGGAAAAACTGAGAAAGAAAATTATAGATAAATTTTTCTAATGAATATTGATGTGAAAAAAATTTTAATAAAATACTAGCAAGGAGATTATAGCAATATATCACTATGACCAAGTGGGATTTATACTAAGATAGCAAAGCAGGTTCAATACTAGGAAAACTAAAAACATAATTGACCATATTAATAGTAAAAACAACAAAAATCATATGATTATATCAATAGATGAAGAAGCTTTTGACATAATATAATACCCATTCCTACTTTTAAAAAAACACATTAGAAAGTATAGGCATAGGTGGCACAGTGCATAGAGCTCTTGCCTTGGAGTCAGGAGGACCTTAGTTCAAATCTGGCCTGAGACACTTGAGACCTACTACCTGTGTGACCCTGGGCAAGTTGCTTAATTCTGATTGCCTCACCAAAAAGAAAAACAAAAGAAAATATGGGCATGAATTGAGCTTTTATTAAAATGATAAGTAGTATCTATCTAAACCCAAGAGCAAGAATTATCTGAATTGAAGATGAACTAGAAGCTTTCCCAGTAGGATCAGACGTGAAGCAAGTATGTCCATTATTATCACTATTATTCAATATTTTATTAGAAATGCTAAGTATAGCAATAAGACAAGAAAGATAAATTGAAGGAATAAAAATAGGCAACAAAGAAACAAAACTATCAGTCTTTGCAGATGATTTGATAGCATACTTAGAGAACCCTAGAGAATAAACTAAACAGTAGCTTCAGGATATAAAATAAACCTACATAAATCATCAGCATTTCCATATGTTACCAACATATACATAAGCAGGAAAAGATGGAAAGAGAAAATCCATTTAAAATAACCACATACAATATAAAATGCTTGGGTATCTGCCTGCCAAGGCAAACCCAAGTAGTATATGAACATAATTACAAAACATTTTCACACAAATAAAGACAAATCTAAACAATTGGAGAAATGTTAATTGCTCATGGTTAGGTTGAGTCAACAAAATAAAAATGATAATTCTACCTAAATTAATTAATTTATTCAGTGACATAATCAAACTACCAAAGAATTATTTTATATAGCTAGAAAAAGAATAATAAATTATTCTGGAAGAACAAAAGATCAAGAATATCAAAGATGATATCAACAAAAAAAATGTGAAGGAAGGTGGCCTAGTAGTACTGTATTTTAAACTATATTGCAAAGTGGTGATCATCAAAACTATCTGATACTGCAGATCAGTGGAATAGATTATATACACAATACAATAGCAAATGATCATAGTAATCTAGTGTTTAATAAACTCAAAGATCCAAGATTCTGGGTCAAGAAATCACTATTTGACAAAAATTGCTGGGAAAATAGGAAAGTGGTTTGGCTGAAATTAGAAAGAGATTAATGTTTCACATCATAGTTTCAAGATAAGGTCAAAATGGGTACATGGTATAGACAATAAAGGGTGATAGCATAAGCAAATTAGGGGAGCACGGAAAATTTTACCTGTCAGATTTATGAATAAGACAGTTGATGACCAAATAAGAGATAGACAGAATCACAAGAAGTATAATGGGAAAGTTTGCTTACATGAAATTAAAAAGGTTTTGCACAAACAAAATCAATAAAGCCAAAATTAGAAGGAAAACAGAAAAAGGGAGAAAAAAATTACAGCAAGTTTCTCTGATAAAGTCCTCATTTCTCAAATATAAAGGGACCTGAGTCAAATTTATAAAAACACGAGCCATTCCCCAATTGATAAATGGCCGAAGGGTATAAACAGGTTTTTTTCAGAAGACATCAAAGTTATCAATAGTCACATGAAAAATGCTCTAAATCACTATTTATTAGAGAAATGAAACAACTCTGAGGTACCACCTCAAACCTAACAGATTGGATAAGATGGCAGAAAAAGAATAGGACAAATTCCAGAGACAATGTGGAAAAGTAAGTACAATCGTGTACTGTTGGTGGACTTGGGAACTTGTCCAACCATTCTGAAGGAAAATGTGGAACTCTGCCCAAAGGACTATCAAACTGCATATTGCCCAGCAACACTGCTACTAGGTCTATATCCCAAAGGCATCAAAGGAAAAGGAAGATCTGTATGTACAAAAATATTTATAGCAACTCTTTATGTGGTGGCAAAGAACTGAAAATTGAAGGTGTATCCTTCAATTGGGGAATGGCTGAGCAAGTTGTGGTATGTGATTGTTATGGAATACTATTGCTTTATAAGAAATGATAAGTAGGTGGATTTCAGAAAAACCTGGGAAGACTTGAATGAACTGATGCAAAGTGAAGTGAGCAGTATCAGGAGAATAGTGTACACTGTAACAGCAATATTGTAATGATGATCAACTATGAAAGATTTAGCTACTCTAATCAATACAATGAACCAAGACAATTCCAAAGGACATATGATTTAAAAAATAAATGTTATCCACCCTCAAAGGAGAACTTATGAACTCTGGGTGCAGAATGAAGCAAATTTTTTTACTTTCTTATTTTTCTTGCTTCCCCCCCCCAAAAAAAATAATATTTAATATGGAAATGTTTTGCATGACTTCACATGTATAATGGGTATCATATTGCTTGTCTTCTCAATGGATGGAGATGGGGCTGAAGGAAGAGAAAAAAATTGGAACTCTAAATTTTTAACAAGAATAACAAAAATAAAATTAAAAATAAAATCTTTCTTTCAATTTACCACTCTCATTTTATTTATAAAAGCATTTTAAACTCTAAAAAAACTATTGCTTGATCTCTTCCAGGAATTTTGCTTCAATTTCTGCATAAGTTATATTTTCCTTTGAGATTTTGTTTGTAGATATTTTGAAATAATTCTCTTCTTTGTTTCTTCTAGTCTGCTTTCTGACTTTGGACTTTGTTACAGGCAGGCTCTACATACTTCTGCAGAAAAAGGTTGGTCTTTCTGCATCTTTCTTGGTGCTGTTGAGTATTGTGATATTTTAGTCTCTCAGGCTGATGACTACTGCTTTCAGTGCTCCCAACATGGAATGATCAAAGAGCAAAGTCTGTTCACCACCTCTCTGTTCTATGCTCTGAAAGTTTCTGACCTGTATTTGTTTTTTAGCAATAGCAGGTGGCTGCTGGTTATTGGTCAGATGGAAATCTCTGCTGGTTCAAAATGATGGAACTATAGGCTTCCTTTTGGTCTGGGATTCTGCCCTAGTTATTCCAGTACAGGTTTCAGACTGGGCTAGAAGTGAGAACTGAAACCCTGTTCCACTCCTAAGTTCCAAGTCACATTAATGTGGCTTGCTTCTGGACTTCCTCCTTGCATAGTACACAAGAGGGAAGGGGTCTGGTCAGGAAAGCCACTAAGAGGCCAAGCGAGACAAGATGGAAGCTTCTGAAAGTGAACTAGAGATGCTTGAGGGACATGTAAATCCCTGGTCCACTCTCACTAACCTCAGGATACAGCTGGGTCACTTCCTCAATCTGCCCTGTATCTGTGATTTAGAACTGCATATTCAACAAAGCTGCCAGTTGGCACCTGTTTTTCACACTCTGCCTCCTTTTGTCTTTGGTTATAGTCCTTAAGTGTTGGAATGCCCAGTGCACCTGGCCAAACCCTGTCCCCAGTGTCCACTATCTATTTCCCTACCCTGACCTGGGCTGGGCAAATGACTTCTTGGATTCACTGATCAGGATAATATTTTCTGTATTATGTAGATCTGTTTAGAGGAGGAGGGAGAATTTACTGTACTTCTGCTATTCCATCATTTTGACTCTGTCCTAGGTTCTATTTTAACTCTGTCTTGTGATTCCAGTAGTTTTGTGCAATTTTATTTTATTTTCTTGAAATGTAGTATGCAGGACTTTTGTTTGATAATGGGTTCAAGAATTACTATGATTCTTACATTAAATGTTTTCAGTTTGTTTTCCAAGTCAATTGTTTTTCATATTAGATACCACATATTCTAATTATTTTAGCCTTTGAATTTGTGATAATACGTTCTTGTGTACTCTTCCAACATACTCATCCAACTTGGACTCATGTCTTGGATCTTTTGGGTGAGAACTACTCCAGAGTCTACATTCATAAAACTATAGCGTAGAGCCACCCCTGAGCAAGCTGTATAACAGTCAGCCTTAAGGACATAATTAACTCACAAAAAAGACATTTGCTGAAATGGCATAACAAGAATAGTAAAAAACATTCCACCAAAAAACCTGTAGTATGCCCTCCCACAACTACACATAGTTTCAGTAGGGAAAATGTTCGTACAAATATAGTCAAGAGGTGCACACACATATAGGGAGCCTATGTGGCCAAGGCAAGTCAGATATCTGTTACTGAACTCTTTTCACTTCTTATGACATCTTCACACATTTCCCCTGTGCACAGAATATTTGCTAGGCTTGTCATTGCTTTGGATTCCCCCGGTTTGCTCCTCTCTATAGATCAAGTTGATTCTGCAATTGAAGTCACTAGACCTGCTCACTGATGGTTGTGTCATCAACTATTGGGTGAGTTGTGACACTGTAAAATATCATTGTAAATGGGGAGGGAGAGAAATCTCCTACCTTCCCTTTCATGGTAATCTGGAAAAAGTGCAACACAGAAGGCAAAGAGCTGAAATTTTCCATGATAGTTGCCTTTATTTTCAACTGCAAGGGATCTCTCCCCCCCTCCCCTTTCTCTCAAAGGACTCTCTTATGATTTCACTTTTGCAGAACTCACTTTGTAAAAGTCATCAGAATTATTACTGATCCATCAGTCAATCAATACCATATTGTTACATTTGAAAATTAAGGCAGGAATGGGGCAGAGCCAAGATGGCAGAGAGAAGCCAGGAAGTTGCCTGAGCTCTCCTCAGTTTCCCTCAGAAACAAAGTTAAATCAAACCTCTAAACAGATTCTGGAGCAACAGAACCTACAAAAAGATGGAGTGAAACAATTTTCCAGTTTAAGATAACTTGTAAGGACTTCAGGAAAGGTCCCTTCCACATGGGTAAAAGGGGAGCACAGCTCAGCACAGACAATGTTGGGGCAAGCCAGTGATAGGTTCTTCACCACAACACAGATCAGCAACTGAGGACCCTCAATCCTGGCTCAGCAGGCCAGTGGCATAGCAGGCCAGCTGTTAGACCTCCAGCCCCAAATAAGAAGGCAAGTTGCCAGCCCCAGAAACCAGGCAAAAATAGGTGTGACAATGATCTGAGTATGACCAATTTATTAGGCTATCAGTAACCAATAAATTGGGTCAATGGCCTCTCACAATAACCAAAGACTCTGAGGTAGGACTTACTAGCCTTCAAACAGTTTGGGAAGTGCAGGAGAACAATCTGGTCCTGGGTAAGGGCAACATGCACCCAGTTAAGCTAGTAATCATTCCTCTCTGTCATAGAAGAATATTTGATTGATTTATGAGACCTATCTGTATCCTGAGGTTAGTGACAGTGGGCCAGGAATTAAATGTCCCTCAAGCATCTCTGGTTCACTTTCAGAAGCTTTCATCTTGTTTTGCTTGTGCTCTCAGTGGCTTTCCTGACCAGACCCCTTTCCTTTTGTTCATAGGTTTCTGCTTTTTTGTGGAAGCTGGGGCTGAATGGAGACATTTACTGCAGTTTCTCTTTGGATTTTTTTTGCATTAAATCTGGTCCTTTTTAAAAAGGTTTTTACTGAATATATTTGTGTGAGAAGTCCACCCTTTATAATATAAGAAGAGGTTACTCAGTGTGTTCCAGCTTTCATATCCTTTTCAAGGTGTAAGTGTAACAACTCAAAGTCTGAAGGTGTCAAAAACTTATCACTTCATTGTCTTTGTTACCTGGGGGACTCAGATGATTCAGGGATTCACAATTCATCCCCCAGCTATACTTATATCATTGAATTTTTGAGCTTTATTTGATCAATTCCATTCATCATTGTGTCTACTATTATCATTGTGTTCACTAGTATTGAACCTCAATAAACTACAGAGTCTGTTCTAAGAAAGTGACAAATGAAATTAGGGTGCGTGTATCCATGATTTAATTTCTCTCAAGCTGGCTTGACATTCACTGAATGGGAGTTCAGTCCAAAACTGGGCCCCCCTAAGGGGAACATTTCAGAACTGGCTCAATTTGGGATTTGGGATACAGGGTTATATACCTTTTCAACAGGGGCTCATATCAACCCACCATCATTCCGGACCACTTCCAGCCTTGGTCTATCTGGGCAGAAGTATCTGTCTCCACCCAAACCTGAATAGAATAAAATCAATTCAGGTTTGGGTAAGGTTTGATCAGGATAGGAAGACTCAATTCAATCTCATTATCATTAATGTCATTCTGAAGAACTTTGAAGCAGAAGGCTGGGGGGTGGAGCTCCGAGTCTAGAAATCATTTTTCACACTACTTAAATTAAGTTTTCCAACTTCTATTCTGAACCATTTATTCTCCTTCTGAGTTTTCTTCAATTTATTCCCCTTGATATTTAGCATCTAGAAACACTTACAATAATTAGTTAACATTAGAAAATGGCACCTTCCTTTCTTTGCTTTTAGATTGCAAAAGAAAGCCAAAACTCAAATGCCTTAGCTCCTTTCTTTTCTAGCTATTATTCCATTTATGCCCCCTTTGTATAGGAATACACAAATATCACTGCAATGAATAAATGTACAGTATCACAGTTTGGATAGGCTTGTTATACCTCCAAAAAGCCAATAAAACAAAAATAAAAATTATGTCAGTCAAATAATTCTAGGATACAACCAAAAAGAAACCAAATTAATCTGTTACTCTCCTATGAATAGAAAATAAAAGAAAAAAGTTACAAAATGTGTTTTCCAGAATAGGAGAACAAAATCCACTTTTGAGACAACAGCAAAAGTGCCTGAAACTTAGTCTCAAGATCAGAGAAGTTTCTTGCCACTCAAATTGCTTGCCTAAGGTAACACCCATCCAAGTGTAAAATGCTGGTTAGAAATTGAGGCAAAGGAGACACCCTCAGGATTCAGCCGTACCACAAGAACTAATTAGTGTATATATGTCCTGGAAGGTCGTGGGGAAGCATTGTGGGAATTCATTCTGGAAAGCTACTTTCCCTCTACCAAAACAAAACAAAACAAAACAAAAAAACTCTGTAACAAGTAAACTTAAACTATAAAACCAGTCTGTTTGTAGGAAACAATTCCAACTTAAATTTATTCCAAGTCAGTAAAAGTATTAACAAATTAAAAAAAAAACAATAGAATTGCTAGCTGGAGCTTTCAGTGGTTATTCAAAATAAGTCTGGTGGCAACTTAGGTGAAAACAAAAGCAACTCGGGTAGCTCCATTCAGAAAACAATGGGCTCCTCTTGAGGCAAAACACTAAGTTTTTAGGAGAAAAACTAGTCAAAACCCATGATTTTTTGCTACTTTTCCAACTAAGCCTACTTATCTTCTTGTCCTGATGTGTGAGTTTGCAATTCTATGGCAGTAGCAAAGATCCAAGGGAGAACTTCCAGTGCTCTTTGGAAAAGACAGAAGAAATTTCCTGGATCTCTAAGGATATTGCCTGTGTTACAGGGACCTCTAGAGAATTTGGGTGTGCCATGTGTAGAAAGAGATATTTTTTGTTTGTATGCCCAGTTTAACACTGAGGGAATTATTGGAAAAGTTTCCATCAGTGATAGTTTTATCATCAAAGGGGTGACCTCCTAGTTGATGTTTTAATTGACCCCTAGTGTTGTCCCAAATCCCTGTAGGGAGAGCTCCATGTAGTTTAAAAACCTGAATGCAAACTTGGTATCTATCCGAGATGGGGAGCTGCTTTTCTTTGTTCTTTCTTTTGCTTGTGGGTTGAGAAAGGCCTGTAAGGCTAAGGTTTAGACAAGTATAAATATTTAACAAACTTTGAAATGTTCTTTTCTGAATCTGCAAAAAATTGTATTTGAGATAATTGTGATTTTCATCTTTACACTTCAGACTGCATATGATCATTCAGCATGGATTGTTTTGAGACTTTACTATATGGCGCTGGGGAAACAAGTGAAAAGACATTGTTTATGCCACCCTAGAGAAGACTTTTCTGAATTTGGGACAAGGACTATGTTAAAAAAAAATGTATTCCTGTCTATTTGCTGGTGATGGTAAATTTCAAAGAAGGGAAATGAATAAGGGGTCTTGCCCTGCACAAGCTCAGATAAACTAAAATGGAGGCAACCTGTACCCTGAACCCTGTCTACCAGTGGGTATGAGTGGCATACAATCCGAATTGGAAACATTTTTTTGTTGTTGTTCAGTAGCCTTACGTAGCACAAGGGGTGCCTTATCAATGTTAAATGAACATTTTTTTTTATCAGACTATTCATTGTGAAACAAATGGGAGTAAACTTTCTCTATGCCTTGGCAAGAAAGATGTAAAAAGAGCTCTGTTGCAAGAATTTCCAGGGCCCTTAATAGTCACTGCATAAACGCATGGGCAATTTATTTATCTACCCAAAAGTGTGAAACATACCATCAGTAGCTGATGGACAGGTATGTCCATTCACAGATGACATACAAATACATAAATATCACATATGATACACATATAAGTATACGCATATACATATATGTGAAGAAATGTGTTCAGCATATAAGACAAATTTGTACACAATATAAATATGTATATCATACACACATGTACACACATACACTTTGTGTATGTATATGTGTGTGTGTGTGCATGTGTGTGAATGTGAGTGTGTGTGTGTGTGTGTGTGTGTGTGTGTGTGTGTGTGTGTGTGTGTATGTGTGTGTGTATTCCCAGAGAGTTTGGGTAAGATCAGGTAAGTAAGAACAGGTACTTTTTTAGGAAAAGAAAGAGGATGCTTAAACTGTTACAAAGTGTTTAGCATAGCTATTTGCACCAGAACAAAGAAAATCTTCTTTATAGTCAGTTAATTAATTAGCATTTGTTAAGCTCCTACTACTGCCTCATTAGAGAAGATAAAGACAAGAGGGCCAGTTTTTGGAACTATTCAAAGTCCTATGAGTTTTCTTTTGTAATCATAAAAGGGGAAGGTATTGAGGGAAGGGAGATAAGAAACATAATAATAGCAAATATAGGCCAATATTGAGTCAGTTATGTCCTCTCCAAAATCTACTTTTGACAACACTTAAGAGATTTTAAATGATTTCACTCTTTCATTTTACACTGGCTGTAGCAGCTTTGCAATAGATCATAGTTGAAAAAGTTTTATAATAATTTTTCATTTCATTCCAAGATGAATCTCAATATGACAAAGTAACAGTTCCTCAAAACTTTTTTTTTTCCTTCACAAAGATACGTGCCTTTTTTCCATCTAGAAGTAGTATGGGTGAAGAAGGGTCTTGGCACATAAACAAGAGAACAGTTATTCCTTCTTTGCTGGCCTCTGATCTCTTATAGGTGCATTCTTTTCCAACCTCTCTTCAAGCATGGTATTCTCTATAATCAGCATACCAGAACTACCTTTATGCAGTGCCCTTCAGATTTTCTTTTCAAATCTGCCTTGAGAAAAACCATAAGCAAAAATCCTAAGACTGCTATTTCATAAAAGCTAACTTCAGCTCACTAATGAGGAAGCTGATTCATTGAAGACCCCTTACAGTATCAATCATTTTGATGTGATTATAAGTTCTGTATATTTGGCCCCAGAGCTGTGAGCTGTAGATGTTAAGATCACTTGTGTAGTCATGGGAAGCTGGATGGAGGCCCTCCACCCTTATTTTTCCTCATCATGGGACCAAACCCAGTGTGGAACAGGTGACTCAATTACATGGAAAATACCCCAACATTATTATTATGATTTTTATTTTTTTGCTTTTTGGTGAGGCAATAGGGGTTAAGTGACTTGTCCAGGGTGACACAGCTAGTAAGTGTTAAATGTCTGAGGCTGGATTTGAACTCAGGTCCTCCTGACTCCAAGGCCAGAGCTCTATTCACTGCACCACCTAGCTGCCCCCCCCCAGCAACATTATTTTTGTACCTTCAGAACATTCTCTCTTGTCCAACATGAGCAGGTGCCCATCTTGTGACCATCTTATCATCACCTAGTCAGTGGAGATATTCCTTCCTTTGCCCAACTCGTGACCTGATGATATATTGTTTTGCTTATTTTAATCTATGTATCATATGTCAGCCAATAAAATTATCCTGTACCTGGTAAAGTTGTTCTTGAATGTTTACATAACTAACCCTATAAAAACAGGGTCCTGAAAGGAAGGGGCATCTCAGGTCATGAGGAAGATCTGAGGTCCACTTCATTAGAGAGGACCTAGTGCCATTGGCTCAGACTTCTGCCTCAGTTTCTCTTATTGTAAGTTGGATAATTTTTATCCCCACAATTACAAACCCCTGTTCCTCCCCACCACATACCCTACTCCCAATTGCTTACTTACTTTATGTCCAGGATGGTTCACATTCACTTGTTTTCCTTCTATTTGGGGCATGCTACAAAATATGAATTAAAAATTAAAATTTCATCTTTTATTCTATATGCTTTACCATGTGTTGCCTCTCCCTCAGCTGCCTTTGAATAAAGGAAACCCAAACATAACTGTGATGTGCAAAGCTCTGAACTGTTAGTGCGGAGGTGGACAACTCTGAGGCACCAGCAGAACTAGAACTGCGAAGGAAGAGACTAAAATCACCAAAGTTGTCAGGAAGAAGAATAAAAACCCTTGAACACAAACAGATACATTACTAGAAAAAATAAACAGTACCACCTGATCAAGTAACTAAGTCAGGCATCCTTAAATAAATACTGCAAAACAAAGGAAAATGATCCAATGTTTGAGAGAAAGGATACTGGGGAATTTGAGGAGAACTTGGAAATAAAACAACCTGTCTTTTAGTGGTTAAAATAAGAAATGAATTATGATGAGAACAGAATTTATGGACTACAAAGCAAAAATAATGGGCAGAATAGAAAAACTGTTTTTGCAATGGCAAACTTCACCAAAGAAACAAAGAGGAGAACATTAATTAGATTGGGAATGGAAAACATGCAGAAGCAAATAATAATCTATAAGAAGCAAAAACCAATAACATAAAAGAAAACATGCTCATTGCTGCAAGCAAAACAAGCTG